CATAAAAATTCATCTAAAATAACAGTTGTAATTTCTTTCCTTAACCTTATAGTAGTGTCATACTGCTTGCTTTGGTTGTCGTGAAAATCGTGACACTTTGATAACAGAAATTATTGTCAAAATCAAGCATTTCAGGATGCCGATGCTGCAAAAAATATGACTTGAAAATATTAAAGGCTTTTCATATAAGATAAAGGATAATTGCACATCTTGTCATTAAAGTACATCCGGATCACTCCAAACAGATGTGTCTTCTCACGCTAGTATATAAATCTGAAAGGTAGACTGAGCTTATTTACATGTCGTTGTGTTTTTAAAATAGAATAAAGATACTTACCTTTCATATATGATGCATAGTATTTTGCATATTTCAAATAAATTATGATATTCTTCTAATTGCAATATATATATTTTTCTATATGTCACAAATATATCTTTTAGATTTGGTATTCATTTATTGGACAAATCATTTCATGTTGGCCAACACCAAAAAATATTGTAAAAACGTTATTTGACCGATGATTAACACGCGGTTTTAGAAAATTTTATAGAGTTTATAGAAAGAACAAAACCTCCACACCGGGAACGGCCAATGCCTAGCGGGACTCTGTCGTCCCTGCTTTTTGGGCTATCACCATGTGTCTCATATTGCAGTTAAGAAAATCTCAAGCTATTGCCTTTATTAATCTGCAAAGGAATCGTACCCATACTAGCGCAAGGTTTGCTCCGAAAGGTGATGTTAAATTTACATAAATATGGTTAATGCATGTACTAGGAGACGAAATCGCCGCATCATCTAAATGAAAATGTCACGCGGACCCCAGGCGACCATGCTGCAGCATTGGACAAATGGGTAGCTCTCGGTTGTGATCTGAAAAATGTGCTTTTTACATAATTTTTGTTTATAAAGAGAGGGAACAAAATCGTCCATCTGTAACGGCCAGTGAAACACAGTTTAAGGCGGCCATGTTACAAATTTATCTTGTGAGAAAATGTGCCATGATTTAGCGCAAGAAACACACTGACAGTAACAAAAGTTATCATTGGAACTCTAGGACAGCTTCAGAGTTATCACTAGAACTCCAGGACATTTGAAAAATCGGGTAAAAATTTGTTTATGTGTGCAATTTTGAATTATAATAAGGTAATTATAGACGGCAAAGATGAAGACCAGAAATAAACAGGTCAATAGGTGCGAATTGGCAAATAATTTGGAAATTTTACTCAAAACTACCAGATTTTAAACAAGAGGCGATAAAAAATGGACTATGAATTAGTTTTAACACATAATACAAAGTGTAAGGCAAGCTTAATCATTAAAGTTTAATTTAGCACCTAAGACTCACTTTTTGACGAGTGTTTCTGTAGTATATACAAATGATTTCCGACGAACTCCGTAACAGTTAGCACAAGAACTCTTGACAAGTTATCATAAGAACTCCATCTCTCGTGTAACAGTTCCTCCCTCGTGATGATATTTTTAACCTTTATAAAAACAAAATGAAAGTAAAACGAACGTATTTGAAATGTATTTCATTTGTGTTAGTTTGAAATATAAAGGATTTTTATATAGACTCAATTAAAAAAAATAGTGTTTAAATTGTTTTCGTGACCATGGTTCATTTCTGTACTCTAGACAACATGTGGCTGAGTACTTCTTTATTCCATTTCAGTTCGTGTGAGAGATGATATATTTTTCCCTATTTCATAATCACTAATGTGGAAATGAATATTATCAACTTGCTTTAATATGTGCACGTTCAACACACAATGATAATGAATATTTTCAAATGCTGTTTAAATCAAGTTTAATGGACTTAATTGTTGTTAACTTGATAGTATTTCGTTAGAAAGTCAACTTCTACTTGAAAAAGTATTTATTCTATGTCCGCCTTTAACATTTCGCAAAGTGTTTATTTGCTTTCGAGGAGTAGGAATAAAATATAGCAATTACAGAATAAACAAAATGAATGTTTTAATAGTATTTTGTCAGGCCTTATATAAATTTTGCAAAATTAAAAGGTATTTTAAGTTAAGGAAAATGGTAGAAATTCCGTGTTATTAATTTATTTTTTCAATGCACACGGCAAAGACAACAGAAATATGAGTAAAATTCAGACTACATGTATGTATTGTTTAGTCTGCTGTTAAGAGTCAATAACAATGCAATATCTTCACTTATCTTTACTATACAGTGCTGCTTACATGTGAAATAAAATATGTCGGAAAATTATATTGTTTAAAATATCTCAGAGAAGTCTCAGAAACAAATTAATTTTTCACTATTTGAAAATGCAAAAAATGACTTATATTACATTTAAATAATGGTTTCAGAGCATGTTTGTTGCTGATCACTTAAAGAAACTGAATGTGACATCATTTGTCTAAAATGTACAAAGTAGTTTTGTAAATACAAAATACCTAATCACTATAAATGTACGTATTGCTAAGATGCAATAAAAGCAAAACTGGGTTCAGGTATTTTTCAAATCTTTTGGAAACTGTAAAAATACACCAAAAACCCAAGAACAGCTTTTAAAAAGAATAAAAGCATATTATACATGTATAATAATATTTGTATTACACTGCAGCATTCTGTCGAATTTGCAGACATGTCAACACATCTAAATACAAATATCTGAAAATATTTTCATCCTCTAAATAGTTAATAAAAATATAAAATCTTACTGGCGTTTCTTGTTAAATAATCAGTAATTACCAATTTCTCGGCAAGTGTTTGACTACGTATTCCGCATGCTTTCTGGATTAGCATTGAGAAACAAATTACAATTTGAGTCAATATCCGAAATCAACTGCCAAGCAGAAATAATGCCTTATCCGAGGATCAAACCAGCATCCCCATGATTTCTAATTTGATGCTTTATCTGTTGAACTTAATGGGAGGATTAAATCGACAGAAAAATAAATACGGTTTCATAATGAAGGGGATGATTGATTCTGATTTTGTGAATTGTAGTTACTGTGGATACACGGTGGATTTACTGAGCTGATAACTGTTGTACAACTGAGGGTATGGCACTTGATAAGATACTGTAGACCATTGATTCCCCAATCAACAAATATAAGGAGTAACGTCATATTTTAGCATAACCGTTCCACACACACGTGTGGTATTCTAAATCTCAACACAGGTCAAGACACACACAGGCAAATCACGGAAGGGATCTCATTATAAATTATTCAAATTAGGAAATCATAGAATCCTACAAGGTTATTAAAGAAGAAAATTAATGAAAAGGCCTACAAACGGATAACGGTGTACGGGAAAGGGGCAATAGGACAGATAGGGGGAGGGTTTTTTTTTTTTTAAAAAAAGGGAGGGTTAACTGGTTAATGGCACAACAAACATCACTCTTAGCTCCATTATGTTACTGAGACAGTGTAATTAAAGTGAAATTCAAGCCAAGTGAAATTCCAACAGTTGTTATTGTTAAAAAAGATGAAATAAGTAAAACACAGAAATGATCATGTAAACAAAAATAAAAAGTTAACCCAAGAACCATAACAAAACTACTCTATGCCTTAAAGGAAGGCAAAGCAGCAAAAAAAATCACCTATATGGAGCACAAGACGAAAGTAAAGACAATTCAGTTTCGAAGTTTTTAAGGTCTGTCAATCTTTGAGTAAAATGGTTAAACAATAAGCATACGATATGTTTTAAAATAGAAATGTCATTACCCTTTTTAATAAAACGTTCAATTATTTTAGGAAAGAAAGCAGAAAATTATCACGACCCAAGATATTACGAAGTTAGTAAATCACATCCCCATAATCTATAGACACAGAAGAGTTTTCAAATCGGTATTGAATTTTTAAATTAAATCGAAAGTATGTACATGATTTGATAAAATGTTTCTGTATTTTATGATAGCGCTTGTCCTGTTTGATGAGCTTGCTAGTAATGAAAATTTACCGTTCGTTAAAATCGTTTACGTGGCTTTAAGTTCTAGCGAATCTAATTAACTGAGCTACCTATAACCCGTAAGATGGTGCAAGGGTCCATCTCCATCTAAATGTGGATAAATATCTATACCAAAAGTCATCACTTAAAATTATAAAAGATTTTCGTGTGAATAGTATTGCTTTTGTCTATAATATGAAGATCAAAAATGAGCTAAAATTTCAAGAATTCGTTTTATTCAGTTGCAGTTCTATAGGACAAATAATATAATATACAATTTGATCAAAGAAATATTATCTCAATTGAAAAACCAATTGAGGCATTAGCTTAACCCTGATCCTGCCTGCTATATTTCTATAATGGACCTGTCCAGCTTTTAATTTGGAACAGTCCGTTCAGAGTTCAAGCGATTTTAATATCAAAATACAAAAAAAATCAGCTGCAAACAGTATAGAGCCTGGTCAGACTGCATGGATCTGCACGCTAAAATGGCTCTTTACTGGTGACAAAGGCTGATCTTTTTTGGTTCCAGAAGATTAAGGGTTAACATAGATAATAGTTCATACCATTCAAGCATGCACGTGTTTTATATTTATAACCCCAAAACAAGATCTTGAGACTACCAATCTTAAAACCTATTAATTTTTACCTGAAAACATAAAGTAATATGAGTGTTATTAAATTGAACAAAGAAAGACACGACACATAAAAGACAAAAGCACAACATTACAACACTTATTTTACATAATCTGTCGCTCGTTCGCCTCGAAAATGATACAAGTGTAACTTTGCCTAATAGTTGTTTTTTCGCCTTTTCGCATTTTTTTGCGAAGTAAAAAAAGGAAAAAAACAACAGACCGTATATATTGTGATATATTTCTTTTCATTATTATTACCAAACATTAAATTTTGAAAGTGTGGATAATACAAATTATTAAATTATCTCAAACCGATCACATCACAATAAGATGATGAATAAAAATTGATTTATTTGAATTTCACATAGCTATTGAAATTAGAAACAAAGACGTTGACACGAGAAACATTGCCAGAAATATCCACATCAAAATTCCATCACTGTTCTGTGTGACGACATCTTCATCCAGGGTCATTTGATTAACCGTTCTTGATTGAATCTGCTCTTTGTTTTCAACTGCTGTTGTTTTTCCAAGGGTACTGTCGTCTTGTACATTGTTTGATGTAACACGCTTTGGTTTTCTGCATCGGCAGAAGAAAGAATAAAGTTTAAGAATAAAGGGGATGCTTGTTTTGGATTTGGTAAAATGTAATCTCACCTGCCAAATTGACAACATTGTGATCACTACTGACATACTAAGCTGATAACTTACGTACAACTGAAGGTATGACACTTGTTTAGATACTCTAGGCATAGATTCTCCAATCAAATTTAGAAGAACAACAAATGTCAGGAGTAAAGACATATTGTAGCCTAAACGTTCCCCGCTAACGGGCGGTATCTTAAAGCTGAAAACCATCATAATAGATAGAAGTGCCACGGGCAACAGAACGTTAACCACATAAAATAACCAGTATCGCGATAAATTTAATGTAACATAAATTTGTGTAACGTCCTCATGGACTAATCTTTCCTCTATCACGGCGCTTTTCAACTTCCACTCGCCATTCTTTTCAAAAGTCGTCGTCGAAACTATCTTAGATGATATAGATAGATATACTTCACTGTCATACTCAAGTTTACCAATGATGATGGTGCACGATTGAGAGTCAAATGGATATTTTGTTATATCTATTTGACATGCTGTACGTATGTTCCCGCCAGTAACCCATTCTGCATGACCATTACTCATGACCTTTATTCGATTCATATTTCCACTGTCTTCAGTAAGTACAAAAATCGAGTCTACTGAATTACCGATTGTAAGATCAGGTATCCATGCAAACTTTGGTGAGAAGTTCAGCGTTTTGACATTACCAAATTCAGACGCATTCCACTTCAAATTTTCATACGTCCAGCGACAAGTAAGAGCAATCGAACATTCCAATAGTTGTTCCTTTTCGTCTAGTCCTTTTATTCCTAACAAATGAACACTATAATCTACAGTGACTGGTTTTGATTGGTTAGTAACTGGTCGAATTTTACCGTACATCCTGTTTTCAAGTGTTTTGTAGAGTTTTATATACTGCGAGAAAGTATCACTCTGGCCACGTATAGACTCAGTGAATAACACCACCATTATTACAAGATGTAAAATTTTCATTTTTACAAATCCTTTTTGATAATTCGAAACAACATCACCGGAAAACAGGTAATTATGTCACATGTTATTCTAAATTTTTACTTGAAGGTATTGAATACCACCTTCTACTTAACACTGCTTAATGAAAGTTAGTCAGTGTGTGCGCAGATAACTTCTGCTTCAGAAAATAACTTGTTTTAACTTATTTGCTCGCAATTATTAAACATCATTGATTTATAAAGTATTCTTTTAAGTGCTTGCTTCAATGTTACTACCCAAAATGACAGGAATGTAAACAAAACTGAATTGCAATTCAAAGTTAAACACAAATTCAATTGCTAGAAATGTTTGCAGGAAAATTGATTTTTGTCTGTTGGCAGTTAGACCTCCGTACGAATGCTGTAAAGCAAGGTGTGTTCATAAAAGGATCTATTCTGTGATAGTACGCTGTCTGCGATGTCTTTATGTAATGATAGTATTACACATGAATGATATATGCATACAGGTCTGTAAGTTACAATGTACTAAGCAGAAGAATTAATCAAATATAAAACGTTTTAGAGACAGTGTTTTTAAGTTATTGATCTATCATTGCATTGAAACTTAAACTTGATCACTCAACATTATAGTAAGCAGTCGCTATTTGGAAATATATTTTGAAACCATATATATTTATTTTAATACAAAAAGTAAACGCTTGTATGATTTGTGACGAAACCAACAACTGTCATCTGATTTTTCATAATTTATCAACTTTTTTATGTCAAAGCAAAATATACAATGTACCTGTCAAATTTTGTTTTCATTGTTCTTGCAACAAACGTATTTTTAATAACTGAAACAATTAAAATCGTTTTAATTATGGAAAAATAGACATTTACAGAGTTCTCTGAATGAGAACATACAACACCATCCAATGTAAGGTGTTTTCTTTTAATTACGGGCAGACCCATAACAAAGTGGAACATAAAATTTACTGTCCGAGATAACAAGGAACGCTTCTATGACATCAGTTATGAAAAAAGTTTATAATAATTGAAAGATATCATAAAAATGACGACGCTAAACATATGTGCTTTACAGCAAATATATATCGCCATAGCAACAGAAAATGAGGCTTTTACAACAATCCGTACTCATTGTAATAAAAGTAAATAGCATTACGCATTTTAGTGTCTCTTTTTAAGTTTACCGTTTAGAATTAAGTGCTTTCAACTTTATGCAAATATTTGAAATAAAAAATAACTTTTGCGAAATGTAGTTGTATAGATTCAGTAAATGAAATGACGTGCAAATATTTTTTCTTATAATACTTATTTATAAAACTTTAATTTCGCGTACAGATTAGTTTTCATAATATATTAAAGTGATCGAGAAACGGACAACACGAAACATCGGTATTTCTAAAGCATTTACAAGGAAAAAAATCGAAACAATCGAATGTTAAGCCAAAATCCAGCATTCGACATTGACTTGGACGAATCCTATGTAGGTTTTTTTTAGATTTCTGTCTTGTTCTTATTCGTATTCAACTGAATGTTCTAATTAAAACTTATTATGATTTATTATTGTTTATTCTAATAAAGCCCACTTTTTGATAATTTTTATGACTTAAGCATTTGAACATGTAGAGTTCTTATCGCTGTCAATGAACTATCTAAATGGAATAGGACTGCATTTGTTTCAATTTTTCTTATTTTAAATTCAGTTATGTGCAGTTTCAGTTTGGTAACTTTAAATTTTCAAAAAATCTTTCAAAATGATGAAAAAACAACAATTATACATGACTGAACTAGAAATTAAAAACAAATGATACATAAAACAAATCGTAAATATAATTGTGATCTATGCCGTAATTATTTACTGAATACTGACTTAGAACAGTTTCTTATATGATTAATAAGATAATTACAAAAACTACCTATGTCATCGATTATTTGTGAGACATATATTTTGATAGTTGCTGATAGTTGTTACTCTGCAGGGGTTAGAGTTATTGTGAAGTATTTTTTTGAGAAACGTTGATACTGCTATTATACAGAGGTAATTGCTGTACAGAAAGCTGCTCTCTAAGTGTAAATATTGCATTTTCTTATTTTTTGTATAACTACTTATTTTGTACATTATATTATTTAAACAAATCTCTACAATATTATTTTTTCACTCTAATGTGTTTCAAATTATCACTTATTACCTAATATAGAGCAGTGTCGGATGCATTATCACGACATAGATTTGTAAGCGGCTTTAGAAGACGAATGTTTATATGTAATATGACGTCAAATATGAAATAAAAAATGATGATATGAAATTTTAAATTCTGTTCCACTTAAAAAAATGTGTCTCGAAGGCAGTTCTGACGTTCCGTACATATAATGCTGGTCGTATGTTTCAATTTGATTAAACCGGTTAATGGCGCACCAAACCTTTTAAAACATAATGAAAAGTAAATAGAACGTATTTGAAATGTATTTCTATTGTTCGTTTGAATTATAAAGGATTTTTTATATAGACTTAATTAAAAAAATAGCGTTTAAATTTTTATTGTCACCATGGTTCATTTCTGTACAATAGAGAACATGTGGCTGAGAACTTCTTCATACCGTTTTAGTTCGTGTGAGAGATTATACATTTTTCCCTATTTACAATCACTAATATGGAAAGGAATACCAACTTCTTTTAGTATGTGCACGTACAACACACAATGACAATGAATAATTTCAAATGCTCTTTTAATCACGTTAAATGGACGTAATTGTTGTTAACATGATAGTTTTTCGTTAGAAAGTCGACTGGCTCTTGTAACTGGGTCGGGTGGGGGTTGCGTTTATTGAACGCCGCCTTTCCTTGTTGATCTTGTTTATCATATGTTTTGTTTCCAGATTTTTATACTTCACAACAGCAGGTGTCAAGTGCCGTGTGGCAGCTGTAAAAGGTGGCCCCGTACTTCACTTAAGTGTTGTTATGTTTTTCTGGTCCTTCGGGATCATTGATGCCAGCAATATTAAGTGTTGAGAATTGAGTACCGCTCGAGCCGATGCTAGGGAACACGAGGGATGTTGCACATATTCATTATCCCTAATGTACAGACTCAATCAAACCGAGTCTGCAATTCTTATGTAATTTTGTTGTGATAAATGCTTCCGAGGGATCACTTTGTTTCCAGATTTTCCTACTTGAAAAAGTATTTATTCTATGTCTGCCTTTAACATTTCGCGTGTTTATTTGCTTTCGAGGAGGAGTAGGAATAAAATATAGCAATTACAGAATAAACAAAATGACTGTTTTAATAGTATTTTTCAGGCCTTATATAAATTTTGCAAATTTTGCAAAAATTAAAAGGTATTTTAAGTTAAGGAAAATGGTAGAAATTCCGTGTTATTAATTTATGTTTTCAATGCACACGGCAATGACAACAGAAATATGAGTAAAATTCAGACTACATGTATGTATTGTTTAGTCTGCTGATAAGAGTCAATAACAATGCAATATCTTCACTTATCTTTACTATACAGTACTGCTTACATGTGAAATAAAATATGTGGGAAAATAATATTGTTTAAAGTATCTCAGAGAAGTCTCAGAGACAAATTAATTTTTCACTATTTGAAAATGCAAAAACTGACTTTTATTACTTTTAAATAATGGTTCCAGAGCATGTTTGTTGCTGATCACTTAAAGAAACTGAATGTGACATCATTTGTCTAAAATGTACAAAGTAGTTTTGTAAATACAAAATGCCTAATCACTATAAATGTACGTATTGCTAAGATGCAATAAAAGCAAAACTGGGTTCAGGTATTTTTCAAATAAGTATCTTTTGGAAACTGTAAAAATACACCAAAAACCCAAGAACAGCTTTTAAAAAAGAATAAAAGCATATTATACATGTATAATAATATTTGTATTACACTGCAGCATTCTGTCGAATTTGCAGACATTTCAGCACATATAAAGACAAATATCTGAACATATTTTCATCCTCTAAATCGTTAGTAAAAATATAAAAATCTTACTGGCGTTTCTTGTTAAATAACCAGTAATTACCAATTTCTCGGCAAGTGTTTGACTACGTATTCCGCATGCTTTCTGGATTAGCATTGAGAAACAAATTACAATTTGAGTCAATATCCAAAATCAACTGCCAAGCAGAAATAATGCCTTATCCGAGGATCAAACCAGCATCCCCATGATTTCTAATTTGATGCTTTATCTGTTGAACTTAATGGGAGGATTAAATCGACAGAAAAATAAATACGGTTTCATAATGAAGGGGATGATTGATTCTGATTTTGTGAATTGTAGTTACTGTGGATACACGGTGGATTTACTGAGCTGATAACTGTTGTACAACTGAGGGTATGGCACTTGTTAAGATAGTGTAGACCATTGATTCCCCAATCAACAAATATAAGGAGTATTTTAGCATAACCGTTCCACACAAACGTGTGGTATTCTAAATCACAACACAGGTCAAGACACACACAGGCAAATCACGGAAGGGATGTCATTATAAATTATTCAAATTAGGAAATAGCAACTCCTTGAAGGGCCTTGCTGGGTCATATGGGGGTTGCATTCATTGAACGCCGCCTTTCCTTGTTGATCTTGTTTATCATATTCCTTGAAGGGCGTTTCCCAGCACTCCATTCTCCATTCGAGCCAAGTCTAATAAAGCTTGTCCATAGCAGAAGTAGGCATCTGCACATTCTTTGGCAGTTTCACCGTAGGCTTTTGAGAGTATGGCACAAGCCTCTTGAAACTGGTTCACTGCAGAATCCTACAAGGTTATTAAAGAAGAAAATAATGAAAAGGCCTACAAACGGATAACGGTGTACGGGAAAGGGGTAGGAGGACAGATAGGGGGAGGGGGGTTTTTAAAATAAAAAAATAGGGAGTTTTAACTGGTTAATGGCACAACAAACATCACTCTTAGCTCCATTACGTCCTGAGACAGTGTAATTAAAGTGAAATTCCAGCCAAGTGAAATTCCAACAGTTGTTATTGTTAAAAAGGATGAAATAAGTAAAACACAGAAATGATCATGTAAACAAAAATAAAAAGTTAACCCAAGGACCATAACAAAACTACTCTATGCCTTAAAGGAAGGCAAAGCAGCAAGAAAATCACCTATATGGAGCACAAGACGAAAGTTAAGACAATTTAGTTTCGAAAGTTTTTAAGGTCTGTCAATCTTTGAGTAAAATGATTGAACAATAAATATACGATATGTCTTAAAATAGAAATGTTATTATCCTTTTTAATAAAACGTTCAATTATTTTAGGAAAGAAAGCAGAAAATTACCACGACCCAAGATATAACGAAGTTAGTTAATCACATTCCCATAATCTATAGACACAGAAGAGTTTTCAAATCGATAATGAATTTTTAAATTAAATCGAAAGTATGTACATGCAATTTAGTAAAATGTTTCTGTATTTTATGATAACGCTTGTCGATAAGCTTGCTAGTAATGAAGGTTTACCGTTCGTTTAAATCGTTTACGTGGCTTTAAGTTCTAGCGAATCTAATTAACTGAGATACCTACAAACCGTAAGATGTTGCAAGGGTCCATCTCTAATTATCAATACCAAAAGTCATTCCTCTTATCAAAGATTTTCGTGTGAATAGTATTGCTTTATTCTGTAATATAAATATCAAAAAATGAACTATTGTTTTATTCAGTTGCAGTTCTATAGGACAGATATAATATACCATTTGATCAAAGAAATATTATCTCAATTGAAAAACCCATTGAGGCAGTAGCTTAACCCTTAACCTGCTATATATTTCTATAATGGATCTGTCCAGCTTTTAATTTGAAATAGTCCATTCAAATTTCAAGGGCTTTTAATATCAAAATACAAAAATTCAGCTGCAAACAGTATAGAGCCTGGTCAGACTGCATGGATGTGCACGCTGGCCTGGTACTATACTGGTGACAAAGGCTGTTCACTTTTGGTTCCAGTAGGTTAAGGGTTAACAATAGATAAAAGTAAACTTAATACCATCCAAGCATATATGTGTTTTTTATTTGATAACCCCAAACAAGATCTTGAGATTACCATCTGAAAACCTGCTAATTTTTTAACTGAAAAATATAAAGTAATATGAGTGTTTTCAGATAGAACAGAGAAAGACACGACACATAAAAGAATACACGAATGTTTTGCTTAATTTTGCCGCTCGTTCGCCGAATGCAAAAACCAGACGAGGCAAATATAATTTTGCCTAATAATTGTTTTTCGCCTTTTCGCATTTTTTTTCTGCGATGAAAAATGTAAAATACAACATACCGTATATTAGTCACAATATCTAATTGTGATATATTGCTTTTCATTATTATTACCAAACATTAAATTTCATTATGTATGAAAGTATGCGTAACAAACTATTAAATTATCTAAAACCAACCACATCATAATTAGATGATAAATAAAAGACGCCCATTTTAACTCATTATGATTTCAAATAGCTATCGAAATCAGAAACAAAGACGTTGACATGAAAAACATTGTCAGAAAGATCCACATCAAAATTTCATCAATGCTCTGTGTGACGACATCTTCATCTAGGGTCATTTGATTAACCATTCCTGATTGAATCTGCTCTTTGTTGTCACTTGCTGCTGTATTTCTAACGCTACTGTCATCTTCTTCATTGTTTGATGCAACACTCTTTGGTTTTCTGCATCGGCAAAAGAAAAAATAGAGTTTAAGAATAAAGGGGATGATTGTTTTGGATTTGGTAAAATGTAAGCTCACCTGCCAAATTGACAACATTGTGATCACAACTGACATACTGAGCTGATAACTTACGTACAACTGAAGGTATGAAACTTGTTTTGACACTCTAGGCATAGATTCTCCAATCAGATTTAGAAGAACAACAAAAGACAGGAGTAACGCCATATTGTAACCTAAACGTTCCCCGCTAACGGGCGGTATCTTAAAGCTGAAAACCATCATAATAGATAGAAGTGCCACGGGCAACAGAACGTTAACAACATAAAATAACCAGTATCGCGATAAATTTAATATGACATAAATTTGTGTAACGTCCTCATGGACTAATCTTTCCTCTATCAAGGCGCTTTTCAACTTCCACTCGCCATTCTTTTCAAAAGTCGTCGTGGAAACTGTCTTAGATGATATAGATAGATATATTTCACTATCATACCCAAGTTTACCAATAATGATGGTGCACGATTGAGAGTCAAATGGATATTTAGTTATATCTATTTGACATGATGTACGTATGTTCCCGCCAGTATCCCATTCTGCATGACCATTACTCATGACCTTTATTCTATTGATATTTCCACTGTCTTCAGTTAACACAAACATCGAGTCTACTGAATTGCTTATTGTAAGGTCAGGTATCCATGCAAACTTTGGTGAGAAGGTCAGCGTTTTGACATCACCAAATTCAGATGCATTCCACTTCAAATTTTCATACGTCCAGCGACAAGTAAGAGCAATAGAACATTCCAATAGTTGTTCCTTTTCGTCTAGTCCTTTAATTCCTAACAAATGAACACTATAATTTACAGTGACTGGTTTTGATTGGTTAGTAACTGGTCGAATTTTACCGTACATCCTATTTTCAAGTGTTTTGTAGAGTTTTATATACTGCGAGAAAGTATCACTCTGGCCACGTATAGACTCAGTGAATAACACCACCATTATTACAAGATGTAAAATTTTCATTTTTACAAATCACTTCTGATATCTCAAAACAATATCACCGGAAAACAGGTAATAATGTCACATGATATTCCAAATTTTTACTTGAAGGTATCGAATACTACCTTCTGTAAAACAATTTTACTTAATAAAAAGTTAGTCAGTGTGTGCGCAGATAACTTCTGCTTCAGAAAATAACCTGTCTTAACTTATTTGCTCGCAATTATTAAACACCATTGCTTTATAAACTATTCTTTTAAGTGCTAGCTTCAATGTTACTACCCAAAATGACAGGTATGTAAACAGAACTGAATTTCAATTCACAGTTAAACACAAATTCAATTGCTAGAAATGTTTGCAGGAAAATTGATTTTTGTCTGTTTGCAGTTAGACCTCCGTACGAATGCTGTAAAGCAAGGTGTGTTCATAAAAGGATCTATTCTGTGATAGTACGCTGTCTGCAGTGTCTTTATGTAATGATAATATTACAAATGAATGATATCCGTTTGGCAATATGCATGCAGGTCTGTAAACGCTAAGTTGCAATGTACTAAGCAGAAGAATTAATCAAATATAAAACGTTTTAGAGACAGTGTTTTTAAGTTATTGATCTATCATCGCATTGAAACTTAAACTTGATCACTTAACACTAGAGGAAGCAGTCGCTATTTGGAATTCTTACACGACCCGTATTGTTCCCTATTGAACATAGAAGAACCGAAAGTGTGCGTTATTATGCTATACAAATCTGGAAACAAAGAGATCCCTCGGAAGTGACGTAACCACTAAAAATGTGACTCGCTGACAATAAATACGGAAACAAATCAGGGGCAATTGAGCTTGATATCAGGTACGGCAGCATTCATTTGTTGATGCCGTGTTAGAATCGAAATAAGATATCAAAATCGGTGATTTTATGCTTGAGGAATTCACTGTTTGTCGTTCGAATGCGCATCATTATATGACTCGGGCTACTTCCTTGTGATAAATTCCTCGCATCCGAACTCCAAACAGTCATTTTATTGAGCAATAAAATCACAGTTCTGGATATATTATTTCTTAAATGTATTTTGAAACCATATATATTTGTTTCAATATAAAAAGTAAACGCTTGTATGATTTGTGACGAAACCAACAACTGTCATCTGATTTTTCATAATTAATTAACTTTGTTTTTATTTCAAAGCAAAATGCCTGTCAAATTTTGTTTTCATTGTTCTTGCAAACGTATTTCTAATAACTGAAACAATTAAAATCGCTTTAATTATGGGAAAATGGATGTTTACAGAGTTCTCTTAATGAGAACATACAACACCACGCATTGTAAGGCGTTTTTTTCTTTTTAATTACGGACAGAACCATAACAAAGTGGATCATAATCTATACTGTCCGAGATATAAAAAAGGGAACTCCACGCTCCTAAAGCATCAATTATGAAAAAATTATATATATATTATCATCATTGAAAGATATCATAAAAATGTCGCCGTTAAATACATGTGTTTAACAGCACGTTTATATCGTTATGGCAACAGAAAATGCTGCTTTTACAACAATCCGTAGTCATTGTTATTAAAGTAAATAACATTAAGCATTTTAATGTCTCTTTTTAAGTTTACCATTTAGAATTAAAAGCTTTCAACTTTATGCAAATATTTGAAATAAAAAATAACTTTGCGAAATGTAGTTGTATAGATTCAATAAATGAAATGACGTGCAAATGTTTTTTCTTATAATACTTATTTATAAAACCATTTTCGTGTACAGATTAGTTTTCACAATATCTTAAAGTGATCGAGAAACGGACAACACGAATCTTCTTCTTAAAACCAATTGTGTAAACAACGGTATTTCCAAAGCACTTAAAAAAGAAAAAAATCGAAACAATCGAATGTTAAGCCAAAATCCAGCATTCGACATTGACTTTGACGAATCCTATGTTTTTAAGTTTTTTTTAGATTTTCTGTCCTGTTTTTATTCGTATTCAACTGAATATTCAAATTAAAACTTATTATAATGTATTATGTATTTTTTTTTATTTTAATAAAGCCCACTTTTAGATAATTTTTATGACTTATTCAGCAACTCTCCGCCTGAAAAGGTGAAACAAGCCTGATATTCAGTATAACATCCAATTAAAAACTTGTTCCGAGTTTCTCTCCCTTTATTTTTTTATTTAGATAAATATTCTCAGTCTTTATTTATCCCTTTCCTTTCTTTATCTTTTTTTATTTTTTCTCCCGCTCTCTCTTCCGTTCCATCCTCTTACTCTCTGTCTTCTATTTCCCTCTCGTTTCCTCAAATTTTATTCATTGACGCTAATTAAATTTGAATTTAAATTAAAGTACCTATAGTGAGTTTCAAAGTCAATTTAAGTAAATATTCTAACCGGATGTTGTGACAGTTAATATCTGATATAGAGGAAATGATATATTGGGATAATGTAAAATGTTTACTTTTCTTGATAATTTGGAAGAAAGACTTTTGTGTTTCATCGATATCAATAAATATAACAACGCATGTGGAAAAAGAAGAAGCTTTATTCTTTCACAAATAGCACACTACGAAATTGACAAAGCCATTATAGCTCATAGTCACTTTTTTTTAGTAAATAAACATATGAATTAATATTGGCAATTATATTCGACAAAATGGTAAACAAAGTGAAAGAGTACATCAATGTAAAATAGTCAATGTAAAATCGTATGATACATAACAGTGAACGATATAACACTGAACAAGTAAAGATCTACATTACTCTTACAAACTTTTAAAAGCATATGACTCGTGTTTACTTCCCCTGCATTTTAAAATTGCAACAATAATTATACATGACTGAAAACAAATAATACATAAAACGAATAGTAAATATAATTGTGATCTATGCCGTAATTATTTACTGAATACTGACTTATATGATTATTAAGATAATTACAAAAAAACTACCTATGTACAGCAATATTCTTTGTGAGACATATATTTTGATAGTTGCTGATAGTTGTTACTCTACAGGGGTAAGTATTATTGTGAAATATTTATTTGGGAAACGTTGATACTGCTATTATACAGAGGTAATTGCTGTACAGAAAGCTGCTCTGGAGAGGTGCACTGTATGTGTAAATATTGCATTTTCTAAGTTTTTGTATAACTACTTATTTTGTACATTTTATGATTTAAACAAATCTCCAACATTATTATTTTTCACTCTAATGTGTTTCGAATTATCTCTTATTACCAAATATAGAGCAGTGTCGGGTGCGTTATTATGAAATAGATTTGTATGTAGCTTTAAAAGAGGAATGTTTATATGTAATATGACGTCAAACATGAAATAAAAAAAAAATGATGACATGAAATTTTAAAAAAAATTTCCGCTTAAAAAATGTGTCTCGAAGGCAGTTCTGACGTTCCATATATATATACGGCTGGTCGTATGTTTCAATTTGATTAAAGTAACATTATGCTCATTTTTATTGCTATCAAGTTTAGTTATAAGGAATATATTTTAAATAATTTGCTATTACAATGGTCATTAATCAATAATTGATGATGAAAAATGATAAATTATAAAAAAACTTCCTTAAGTATAAAAGAATGATAAAATATTAAAAACTACCTAAAGTATAAGAAGACTGCCCCACTAGACATTTGGTTTATTGAATTTTTGGTAAAATACAAAATTAAACACAATCATGGCAAAATGTCAAGTAACTTATTTTTACCAGTTCTCTGACCATTTTCACTTGAATGGACTTAATAAGAAAATTTTGTATTTTTACTTTCTGTGTTGTATTTTTACGGATATAGATATGCACAGTTCCTGTTTCATTTTCACATCCTTGTGTTACAGGATATGAATAGTAAACAAATGTCTGTCTTAATTTCATACACTTCAAGAAATGTTTCAAAACAAGAATTTCTTTGCAGCTGCTAGAAACGCTGAGACAGTAAAACACATCAGAGCTTGTATCTTTACATTTTCGGCTCTATTACAGTACTGACTGGCACAATGACACCATAAATAACCATTTGAATCTTCATTGCACTTATCTTCCTTGGTAAAACCACATCCTCGGAAAACGCCCTTATCTTCGGCGTTATCTTTAATAAAATAATAACACATTTAAACAAGTATTGTAAGATATGCCCCTTTGATTTAGACAAATATTAAAAAGCTGTAATAAGTTTCACAGTTCGTTAAAACTAACTTGAAAGAAAATGTTAAACGTAATAATTATATTCCTATAAATACTATTATATTGTAAAAGCTACTTCAACGGTTAGCCGCGTGACTTGTAAGGATGTGATTGCTAAACTGCTAGCGAGAACACTGGAAATTTCTAAAAGATCAACTCACTAGTTTGTTGTGCCCAATACCAGTTACCATCTTTAACTAATTTAAGAATGATTTAAGATTTTAGCAATTATATTTAAACTTTTCAGCCAGCTTCCATTATCAACATATTACCTATATCTATACCGTTCTTATCGAACTTGTCAAATTTCAATAAAGAGTTCTTGACTGACAATTAGTGAAAAAAAAGAAGAAGAAAAACAATAACAAAATGTGCCGATTAACATACTAATCATGTATATTTACGTACGTTTTAAAGCTGCATGCCTCAAAATCAGTCAAAATATTTTAATAAAATTAAACTTAAGAAATATGTACCACGATTTAATGAAAAGCAAAATGATTCAAGATTCAAGTAATATTTTACATGTTATATGCGGTTAATGACTGATTTTTAAATATTTACAACTATATTTCTACTGCGTTACAAACGCAGTAAGGCTATTAATGCATATTTTGACAACTTTTGTTAATTTACGTAGGTTATAATTAAGTACCATTGATAATGTGAAAATTGCTTCCTTTTGGTTATTTCACAATATTATAGATTCAAATATAATTTTCAAAATTTTCATGAAAATTAGCGTAAATCTGGAGACGTGCTGCTTTAACTTCATTTATATAATACAATCCATACGTACATAACCATTTTTAAAAAAATTAAACGCAAAAATAAAATATATATTTTTTTAAATTTCAAATTTAAATTCAAATTATGTTACTAAGCATTACTTAGCAAAAATAAATAAATAAATAAATTAATTAATAAATAAATAAAATAAAAATGGAATAAAAAAAACAACTAACTACTGTTATGACGTCTACCAAGTCGATGATACTTTAAACATGAATGTTTACACATCACTGTTTCAGCTGTTGTAGGATCAAAAGGATCTCTGCAGTTTATACATTTGTAACATTCAAGTTTCAAGCTGCTTGAATCATCTGTAATGGGAAATAATGACACTGCATCATTATTGTAAATATCACTACGAATATACAAAAAAATAATAATATGAATACATCCACCCCCAAAAAAACTCTGTCCACTGCAAAATAAGAGCAGTTAACAAAGTCATTCCGTCACAATTTTGATCATTTGACTGTGTTACGGTCAAAATATAATTTAACCTTTTGTAAAAAGTCATGCCCGAGATTCATAAATCTCAGTTTTGCAAATTCGAGTAGTTTGTACGACGCATGCGCGACAATCTGAGTGCCAACAATTGCAACACGTCCGCCATTCATAGTTACTTCAAATGATGTTTGAAAATTGTAATACGAGAAGTTACTTGCAGTATAATGTAATCAGCAAACAGTTCACAATTTAAGAGCATTTACCTACTGGAAGACTGTCCAACCGGTTTTGAGCGAACCCAATCAACATAGAAAATGTTTTTAAAATGAAATAAAGATTTGACACAAATTATTTTGTTACTTGTCCAGAGAATTTGGTTCATGAAAATGACAGGACATCCTAATATTCACGCATAATATTAACAGAAAAATTGAAAAACATCAAAACATATCAAAATAGAAAATATGCCTACCATCATCATAGTAATCATAATACTGGTATGTGTCGTTAACGTCATCATATGTGAACGACGTATTATCATATGTGTCATTGTTATAATCATACACGTATTGTCCAAGAACGCAATATCCAACACTATACAACATACACAGTAATTTCAAAACCATTTTGCTTCTCTTCCAAAAGCGCACATAATGATACAATTGTCCAGATTCTTTAGATATGGTACTAAACAAGTTTCAAGAGGTTATTTCCGGGAAATTAAATATTAACGCACACTGAAAAATTTCCCTTTTAACATAAGATGATCTAAAATAACGTATGCATTTGCTGTAAATGTTATATATTTCAACCTGTGGCATAAAAGATAAATGTATAATGAATTTGAAGCACAGGCGAACGGCACATTTGCCAAGTCAATAATGGTCAAATTATCCCTTGATCATCAACAACTAACTTACTATCCAGCACCCGTTTACTATATGATATATATACAAGGCATGTAACTCGACGTAGCGTATTCATCCGATACAGTCAATATTTTCCTCTTGCATTTTTTAAATATAAGACATATTTTCATACTTAAACGTGGAAACATAACACAATAGATATATATGTCGGTAACCGTTAAAAATATTGAGCCATCTATCTTCATTTACGATAATAAATTATCAAACATTACAAATTACCTTAAAATTGCGAGGTCGACATGTTTTGTGCCATGGAAATATCCAAAATTACCACGAGTAAACATTCATTTAAGTGCTTGCCATTAGTAAGAAAGTATTCTAAGCATGTTTAAACATTGAATTCCAGTAATTATAAAACGTTTGTCACATATGTAATGTCACATGTAAGCGCATTTTAACTACATTTCATTACACTTTTTTTCTTTAAAAAATCCGCCATTTCGCTGTCGGATGAAATGGTAAGTTTTCCTTGGTTAATATTAATATCACCCTTTAGTGTAGAAAAGATACATCTTAAATCCTACCGGGTCAATTTCTTTTAAAATGTCTAAAATTAAAATAATCTGAATGTGAACTTTTAAGATTTTACCAAAAAATAGCCACTTCCCGTTTTGGAAATGTCACTTCCTGATCAGGCATCTAGCAAAATATTAATCATTAAAAGTTTCATTTAAGATACACTGCTTCCAAGTCTGGAAGTACAACAACATATCTATAGTAGAACCTTGGATATGAAACTGTCAAGCCTGGTCAGTTTTTAAATACACATGGCCATGCACAAAATTCAAACTCGACGAGTGGAATATATCTGGTGAAACTTGTGTTCTTGTAAGGCGTAACACACCTATCAAAACTTAAGCTATTGTTCACGGACAGGGGGAATAACGTGATTTTGTATAGTAATACCCACGAGAAAATGGCGACTGCTGAGACCCGGTTAGTTCCTTATTATGTGACAAACGTTTCTTAAATCCAAACAAAACATAGAGTATCTCACGCGCGGTAATTTTCTTCAAATAACAATTTTATTATACAATATGCATTATCCTACGTTTTGTGGTTTTTGAGAATATTGTTTGATTTGTGTGAAAATTGCACATGCAGCGATTGTAATTCCCACGAAGCGGTATAATTTGGTATCAAAATAAATGAAAATAAGCTTTCTTTCTGCACTTAAAACACAAAATCAATCATTTTATTGACATCTGTTCTCGAAGAAATCCATATAAAATTTTGTTCGAAGGTCTCTAGCCTACAAATGTTCTTCGCAAGTGTAAAGTAAGTAAAACCAGCAATTGATTGATGCGCAATTTTCACACAATTCAAACAATGTTCTCAAAAACCACAAAACATAGGATAATGCACTTAAGGTAGACCATGGGTAATGCATTACCTCCACTTTGAAGAGTATTCAAATAGGCTAGAATCGCTTGTAAACTACATGGAAATTGAGGGGCGTGGGTTCAAACCCCAGAGGGGGCAACTTTTTTTTCTTTCTTTTTTTCTTTTTAACATTATTTATGTATCTCTCTGATCCCTTATGGAAGAAAAAAAGTTTGATTTAAATTATATAATTATTTTAGGTATTTTTTTGCTAAATAATGCCAAAATTTATAGCAAATATGATACCAGATATTTTCAAAGTTCGATAAAATAAAAACTACACGGTAAAAGTATTTTATATTTTGCATGATCAACTAATATACCTTTGAGAAAATTTAGGCAAACTTTGAAAACAGACCCTCATTTCGATAAATTTTAGGGATATTTTGAATAAGGCATTTTAGATAGGGAAATGGTGAAATTAGTGTTAAAAGTGGGTGGGGTAGGGTAACATTTTTATACGTATTAAGAACATTTTGTTTAGAAACAAATATTTTGCTTGTGTAATGTGTTACCTGAATGTTATTATTTGTTTCTTAACAATGAGCAATAGAAAAACATTTTTTATAATGATGATATTACAGATTATTTACAGTTTCCTCATTTCTGAAAATAAGCCCTTCTAATGGCAAAGTCTTAGTTCAGAAATATATCCATAACTCATAAACCACACGTTAAATTTTATTTAAATTTTGCATACAGGTGACCTTGAAGACATATAACTGTCCTATGTTGTCAATTTTACAGTTCCTTATGGTGCCCATTACCCATGGTCTACCTTAATATTGTTATTTGAAGTAAATTACCGCGCATATGATACGCTAGGTTTCTTTTTATATTTAAGACACGTTTGTCACCTTAATTTAACCTTATAGATTGTATAGCACATGTTGCGCAGCATTGCACAGAATGTAAATTCTCAAAACAATTACCATGCAGCTCAAATAAGTTAACTGTCGACTCGAGTTCACAGACGGATGGGGAAACTTAGATGCTGATATATGAGGGAAATGATTATGATACATATAAATTAGAACTGTGTCGAAAGGACACGGCTGCCCCCACTGACAACATATATATGGCATATAGTGAAAAAATGAGCAAAGGGCCATAATTCTATTAAATTTGGTCGCAGGAAAAATTCCTTCCTTAACTTTCATCCACACATTAAGGTTGTTCGTCCCTGGAAGTTTAAGCAAAATCTGCCATCCGGTTTTAGAGGATTTGCGTTCACAAAATTTCTAAATGGTATATAGTGAAAAAATCAACAATGGGCAATTATTCTGTTAAATTTGATTGCAGCAAAAATTCCTTCCTTAAATAACATCTACACATTCAGGTTGTTCATCCCTGTAAATTTAAGCAAAATCTGCCATCCGGTTTAAGAGGAGTTGTGTTCACAAAATTTCTACATAGTATATAGTGAAAAAGTCAACAAAGGGCCATTATTCTGTTAAATTTGGTCGCAGCGAAAATTCCTTCCTTTACTACCATTTACATGTTAAGGTTGTTCATCCCTGGAAGTTTAAGCAAAATCTGCCATCCGGTTTAAGAGGAGTTGCGTTCACAAGACAGGACATGCGGACAGACGTACGGACGGACAGACGAACGGACGGACGGACAAGTGCAACGCTATATGCTCCCCACTTTTTTGGGGCATAAAAAATTGACTATAACTCAAGACGTGTTTGCATACTACACGTTTTTATAGTGATTGTGTCATATTTCTGTTTTCTGAAACTTAAGCCACTTTTAATTAGAAAATCTAAATAAAATAAAATAAATAAATAAAACAATAGATGTCCAATGTCATATATGCCTCCCTTTCTAGCTCTTGACTCACACTATTGGTAATTTTGTTATAGAAATATGTCATAAATGGGTACATGCAAGTGTTAAGTTATGGAAAAAGAGAAATAACATGAAATTGAATGAAAGCTATCATCAGTAAGTTATACAAGTTGGAGGGTAGCTGGAATAAGATATATATTATCATGTAAATGTAACTATGCGCATCTTCTTCGACCATTTAAACATTCAAAGTTATTGTGGCCTTGACCTCTGACCTAATGACCTCAATATTAATAGGGGTCATCTACTAGTGATGATCAATAAAAAGTGAAACACAAAAGTTTGATAAGTAGTTTTGAAGATAATGAGTGGAAACAATTCTGACATTTAACGTCCTTGTGACTTTTGTCCTAAAAACCTCAAAGTCGATAGGGGTCATCTACTAATTATAAACAATCAATACGTGAAACATAAAAGACTTAACCCCTAACCTCTTAAAGGCTGATCGAACCCCCAACGTTTGAACCCTCAAACAGTGAAAAATTATCCTATTTAGACCCCAAAGACTGTTTTTTGTTTGGAAAATGTTGATAAAAGAGTGAGTAGTTTTTCGGCACCGCCCCAATCAAAAAGGAACATTAGGGGTTGCATGAAGGGTGATGTACCCCCTTCTGTTTCGGGGGTTTGAAGGAGGGCGGCAGCCCCCTCATCGCCAAGAAAATTCTGGACACGTGACAGGCTAAAAATGGTCTCAGGTCGATCGTAAGGTACTTTATAACCAACGCTGAAAAGCATTTTACCCCATCTCAATCTAATGAGAAGTTGCAGCACTTTGAAACCAGTTTTGATGGGAAAAAAAACAAAACAATGCAAAATAGTGATTTTGGGCTATTTTGAGACGTCCGCCCGTTGTCATGGTAACATGAAATTTAAGATAGAGCATGATGTTACAGAGGCTATGTTTTTTAAGTGATGCTTAAAGTAGCTTTAGCCGCTATCGTTCATTCTGAAAATCTGAATGCAATGAAAACAGTATAGTGTTGCAGCGAAATATAACACAATTGTTGTCAAATTTAACAAAATTATTTAACGATACAGGTATAGCAAAGGACTGGTTTTCCTACTCTAAGGTATATTATTGTAAGAAAATCGGCAATTTTTGAGGATCTATGGTTTAATATTAGTCGGTATAGCATATGTACTATTACTGAGAATCTTGTGCAATTTCACACTGAAGCGTTACTACATCTTATACAAACTTTAGTAACAGTTATATAGATACAAATGTACAAACGATGATGATGTAGGGGGATGGGGTGGGGGTGGGAGTGATAGAGTTCCACAGCCCGCATATGATCTACGTCAGAAAGAATAGCAGTTTGACAATAATAACGATGAGAGAACAGTTCCAAACCAAGTTCCGCACCCAATCCAAATATACTCTGTGAACTTGGCGTCAGCAGTGATGACATTTACCTTTAGTCCTACTTTCACAACACTCAAAAGTTAATGACATATTGGTCATTGGTTGAAAAATTTGCACTATAATAAAGAATATGAATGAAGAAACTTGTGTTATCATTATCATTATTTTTGTCTTTATATAAGTATATAAATTATAGTTATTTTGTCTCCATCTTTGATATGTTATTAGAAATACTATAACAAGCATATACATGTACAAAAACTGATGTTATGCCGTTTTAGCGTACTAACCATTTTATCTTATTTTCCGCGCATAAATATGTTTTGAGAAAATCCCCCAAATTGTTCCATATTACGAAGTCAGTTTAAGATAGAAAGGTCTAATAGGCATCCTTTCACCTTTTTATTCAAGAATTATTTTTTTAATTTGTGTTTAATCATATTTTAAACCTCACTCATGTCAGTTTACAATGACGTCATTCTTGCGCCTGTATGAAACCGCTTAGGATTACGTCATTACGCTGCTTACGAACTTTTATTTTTCATATAT